CATACTTGCTCCTGATAGTTTCCACTAATGTTACAAAGCTGGCATGATATTATATTTTGCCACTGCTGCTCTACCATATCTTCTTTGTATATTCTGGACAAAGGGCTATACATAGATACTCATTTTTAGGAGCAGTCCTAAGATCACTCTCATCCAAATCATGCTGTAACAGCATGATGATTGTACTGATTGGAGGAAACAGACCTTAGTGACAGAAAAGCCCTGTAAAACACAGGAGAACACTTTCACATTGCAATTTTGTGCATGCCCAGATAAAAATAAGTCATATTGACTTCAATAGTGGTTAAATGCCTGTACTGCAGCCACAAGGTTGCGAGTTCAGTACTAGCCAGGGCTCAGGCTTGACTCAGGCCTGCATCCTTCTGAGGTCACTAAAATGAGTACCCAGCTGTTGGGGGGCAATGAGCTTACAGTTGTAAACCGCTTAGATACTCCATAGTGCAGTATGAAATGGTATATAAATGAAGCTGCTTTGCTTTGCTTTGCTTTTGATTACATACCTCTCAACATTTCACAGATGAAAACTGGGACACATATGGCCAAGCAACATCTGAATGTTATCAATTTGACAAAAGATGAAGAAGAATGCACAAGTTAGGAGAGGGTTGTGGAAGTTTGCCTCTGCCTGAGCCTATTGGAAAGGGCAAGACTTCTGATCTTCTCTCCCCTTTCTGAGTGAATTGAATGCAAACTACATTTGCACTTTAAATTTGACTTACAGCAGTTGAAATATGCTGAAGGCTAAGGGGAAAATGGGAGGAGAGAGAAATGGGCATCTTAAAAGGAGTTGAAAAGGTGGAGTTGACAGAGAATTTATGGGGACTGTCACTGCCAAATTGGGACAGTTGGAGGGTGTTTTATTGCAGTCTTGCTTCTATAGAAGAAAGAGAATGAGAAAAAGGTTTAACACCAAGTCAAATGTTCAACTAGTTGATATGGCTATGTCACTTAATTGACTTCAGAAATCAATGTCTGATCAGCAGCAAACAGCCAGTCTCTTTAGACCAGATTAAGGTTCTTTAGGGCTGGGATCAGACTGGATCCACCAGATCCATGTCCAGTCCTGGCCTGGGGCTAATGGTCTGTGTTGTCCATACAGGACAACACCAGGCTGGTGTGGGGGGAACACGGGGCTTTTGGCCCATGGATATAGGCCAAATATTATTCACAAGAGATCAACAGCCACTTTGGCTCTAGTATAAAGAGAGGAGGCTAGAAAGAACACAAGTTTGGAGTTATGTAGTCTACCCAGTGTATGTATTAATTAGAGTCTGGCTTTACTATCTCTACTAAGCCTTGAAAAAACTTTTCTCTACTAAGTTTACCTTACTTCTTAAAGACTGGGCAAAAGACAGAAATGTGATAAATAAGTCTATGAAAAATATTTACCACTTAAATGGGGAAAAATATCTGTCAGATTTAGCATTTGATACATTACATTTTTTTTACTAGAAAGTAGTTAGAGTATCTGTTCATCCTACATTCCATTATACAGTTGGCCCTCAGTATCTGCGGAGGATCCATTATGGATTCCCCCATGGATATCAAAATCCGCTGATGCTCAAGTACCATTGTCCCCAATGGTGGCGCAGCTGGATGGTCGCACCACCATTGGCGACAATGGGACTTTGCCCCCTGGCCCCCCGAAGCCTGCCTTACCATGGCAGGTGGCAGGGGGCTGCCTCTTCCTCCTCCCTCCACCTCTTCCCTTTGCCAGCTCATTCTCCTTCCTCCTCCTCCTCCTCCCATCACCACGTCTCCTTCTATCCTTCCTCCTCTTATCCCCCCATCACTGCCACTGCTCTTCCTCCTCTCTCCTGTTCCTTCCCCCTCTTCTTCCTCCCTCCTCCTCCTCTTCCCTCTGCCAGCTCTTCCTTCTCCTTCCTCCTCCTCCTCTTTCTCTCTGCTTCTCTGCCTCTGTTCTTTCTCCTCTTCCCCTCCTCCTCCTCCTCCTCCCCACTGCCACCACTCTACCTCCTCCTCCTTCTCCTCTTCCTGTCTCCTCTTCAAATGCATAAATGTGCATAATAATCTGGACTAAAGTGGGAAACAGTGATCTAATTTAGGATACACATAGAATGCATTATGGTCACACAAACCCATGATCTTAAGAAACATAATTTTAAGTAGTAATTTTTGTGTGTTTTTTCTTAGCTCAGATTACTTTTATTCAGGATGTTGGAAGGCTTCCATTACAGAAACGCTTTGGAAGGTAAATGTTTTTATCATTTTTTATCAAACCTTTGAATAGTAAATGCCTGCATTGGCTCTATCCCAGCATGGGGAATACTGTTTTATATTCTTACTTACATTTCTATACTGCAACATCTGGAACACAAATAAGCTAATCTATATACTGCAACATAAATCAGACAGTAAAGCATTTAAATGCAAATATAAAATATTCATTTGTGTCAAACTGCAATCCAGCATAAGGGATTTTTCATTCTTCCTTCCATTTTCTAGCATAGCATTTTTCAAGTTCAACGTTTATAAACTTGTATGTAGAATCATAGAATCATAGAGTTGGAAGAGACCCCAAGGGCCAACCAGTCCAACCCCTGCCATGCAGGAATACATAATCAAAGCACCCCTGAGAGATGGTCATCCAGCCTCTGTTTAAAAACGTCCAAAGAAGGAGACTCCACCCTTCTCTGAGGGAGTGTATTCCACTGTCGGCAGCTCTTGCTGTCAGGAAGTTCTTCCTAATGTTGAGGTGGAATCTCTTTTCTCATAATTTGAATCCATTGCTCTAGATCTTATTCTCTGGAGCTGAAGAAAACAAACTTGATCCATCCTCAGTATGACATCCCTTCAAATATATTAATTGGTATATATATCCAATCCTTACAATTTATGCTGTTCACCACAGGCTAGTTCCTATGCCAAACTGGATTAGCTACTTCATTTCCACACACAAAGGCTAGTTTACAATGCCCTTGTCCACAAAACTGGGCCTGCTACTTCATTTCCATACACAAAGGATTTTGAATTTGAATTGATATTCTCACATACCAATGGCATATATATGTCTACCTGGCTTCCACTCTACCAAATGCATCTAAGGAAGTAGACTGAAGTCTATGAAAGGTCATGCTGCCAACCTGTTTCTTTCAGTGAGTCTCAAAGGTGCTACAAGATCTCTCTACAATACATACTGATTCCACAGACTAACACGGCTATATCTTTGAATGAGTTATCCAGCCTCCTTTGACAACCTGCTCCTCCTTTTCACTGACTTTGGTGACAGTGTATTAAAACAAAGTCATTTAGTATTTTAGTAACATAAGAAAGTAGATGACATCATCCACATTTTATCACTTATATGTATATGCCACTTAATACATGTATTAGTTAGCTTGCAATAATCATCATGATGAAATGCTACTATAATTAATAAAATATATAGTAGAAAATAAGTACAACAGATTCAGCAACACTAAGAAGGAGATCAAATATATTTTAGACTTTAAAAATTAAAGAGACAATTGATCTTTTCATTCTCATTTCATCTAGCACTGAAAGATCACAGAGTAGGTGCCACATGAGGCTTTCTAGGGATAACGTTGTACAATCAAAGTGCTGTTGCCAAAAAGTCCTTCTCCAGTCATTATTCACTTGGCAGAAGTATATGGAAAAGGCCTCTGAGGGTGATCTCAGAATTTGAATAGGTGCATGTTTGACAAGGCTCAAGCAGCCAGGACTGAAACCCTTTTGCGAACCTGGATTTTGTTCATTTGGAATCACATTTTTAAAAATAGAGTATACAACTCGTGGTCAGATAGAAAGAGCCTACCTGGCCTCAGAAATGCCACTTACGAGTTTAACTTCAGATGTCAAATTAAGAGAAAGAAAGATTGATTAATATTTTAACCTCAGTTTATTTCTTTATTATGATAGAGTGCTGAGGATGGTTGTTTCTCAGTCCTAGTATATGTTCTTTCTTTTCAAGTTAAAGACTGCTTCTTTCAGTAACATGTTGTCTGCTCTCCTTAGTAATTTAACAGAATGCTATTTTTTGCATGTTGAGAACATCATTGTGAACGACACAGTAGTCTTATTTGAGCGGCATGTCTTTTTGAACACCACAGTAATAATGTGCAAGGCAGGAATCATGTTTTTGATTGCTGTTTTCACAGGTTGCAGCTTGAAACTCTTACTGATAAGGATTCTACCATTCATATCCTGGACAGTGGTGATGAAGGTGAATTTGCTGGCATCCAGTCCACAAGCATGCTTATTCAAATGAAGAAATCAAAAATCAGTGAGGCGAATGAGCCAGGTGAATTGCCTCTTTCTTCAAGTCAATCTAGTGGACTTGAACTACCAAGCAGTCAGCCTCAGCCTGTTTCAGCACAAGCAGTCATGGAGGAAGATGAGCTAAACATAGAAGAATATGACAGTGATTGAAAGTTGTAAAATCTCAACCACAAAGCTGTGATAGTGTTGAACAATATAGTTCTGGTATTTTATAAGAATTCTTATCAGATACAGAATAGAGCAACAATGTTAAACTTTATTTTTTTCAGACCACACTTGATACATGTTGATACTGGGTAACAACTAATATGGAAAATATTACAGTACTGGGTCTCTGCATTTGTTTTTTACTTTTCTCTGCAAAATTTCAATGATCCAAATGTTACCTGACCATAATGTCGTATGGAAATCTGAACTGCAGGGAAATGTATTTATTTCAGAGTTTTTTAAATGCAATCTTGTAGCTATTTGGAGCACATTGTCAATTGTTTAGTTAGCATTTGATAAGTCTCAGTCTTATTTTCTGTGACAAACACTGTACAGAGAGTATAACGCCTGGATTGTACACAATTGAAGATGTAAATAAACCTCTGAAAAAATTCCTAATGAATTAATTTGTTGTATGTCTTCAAGTCATTTCAAACTTAAGGTGACCCTATCATATGTTTTTCTGGAGCTGAGAGTATGTGACTCACCCAGGGTCATCCAGTGGATTTCCATGGCCAAGCAGGGAATCGAACTCTGATCTCGAAAGTCGTAGTCCAATGCTCAAACCATTACACCACACTGGCTCTTGAAATTTTAGAAGTTCATAAAACAAAATAATGTACATTATATTTTATACAAATATGCTGGGGGAGAACATTTTGCTTATTTATTTAAAAGAATTAAAGATGCATACCTGTACTTCAGATCACCTGGTTGAGTGTGTATGGGATTATCCAAAGAGGGCTCTTTGAAATTCTGGTTTCCTGTTCCTGGATTTGTATTTCTTGGTGGCCCATTGTTGTGGTTTGTAGTTATTAGAAGGTGCTCTTTAGCTCAGTTCAATCTCAGGCCTGTAAGAAGAAAATAGGAATTTGGGAAGTTTTAGTTATTGTTTCTTTTTGGATAACCCTTAGAACTGCCGAGGCACTCAAGTTGAAAAGTTTTACCACAAACTAGGCCTTGAAGCTAAAAGGCTGCCATCCTATACACAGATATGTGAGAGTAAACTACATTGAATGGGAATTTCTTAAGTAAAATGTTCAGGGTGGTAACCATCTTAAGTCTGTTAGAACAAAAGCAACCTGAGGAGTTGTAGGTTTTCATGGCTGGCATCCATAGTTTTTTTGTGGGATTTTCAGGCTGTGTGGCCATGTTCTAGAAGAGTTTCATTCTGACGTTTCACCAGCATCTGTGGCTAGCATCTCTGAAGATGCCAGCCACAGATGCTGGTGAAACGTCAGAAAGAAACTCTTCTAGAACATGGCTACACAGCCCAAAAAACCCACAAAAAACAACCTGAGGAGTATTTCCGCACCTTAAAAAAAAGTTTTATTTGGGATAAGCTTTGGTGGATTTGTTGCCCTGATAAGCTGACTGGGGTGCCATCTCACCTTTGAGAACATTATGTATATGGGAGAGTGGGTGGACCATAGGAAACTACTTTTCAAGATTAATATTTCCAGTCTATAAGACATTTTGGGAAAATGCACAGAAATATCTTTAGATCATCAGAATTTATCTTATATCCGGCCAAGTGGTGGTGGTGTTTTTTCTGAGATGCCATTGATTTTGGCCCAACCCCAAACTGTATCTACAATGTACTGTGAAGTGTGCCAAATTATGCAAGATGCAGCCAAAATAGTCTCAAAAGAACATGGAAATCAGCATGCGTAACCTAAAATGTGAGCAGAGATAGGGAAACTAGGAAAGGGATAATCTGTTTAGATCAGGGGTAGGCAACCTTTCCCCTTTAAGGGCTGAGGGACTTCAGCTCCCAGAAGCCTCAGCCATGTTGGCCAATAGCTCCTGGGATTCTGGGAGCTGAAGTCCCTCGGCCCTTAAAGGGGAAAGGTTGCCTACCCCTGGTTTAGATTATAATAAGCATAAAAATCTAATTCATTTACATTTGTATTAGAAGGGGAAATTAAACATTAAGTTTATGTTACATTGCCATTTTAAGTTAGGCAAAAAAGAGCAAAAATGGGAACCTCTAGTGAAATCCACAAGAGAAAAAGCAGGCATGTCTCAAGATTCTGGAAAGATTAATTTTGTGGATCTTTTTATGATCTTCAGGAGATTTTTAGAAAATCATCGCAAAAGGGCAACACATAAATACCATGTTGCAAAGTATCATTACATATTTGCTAATAGCCTGTTTGTTGTTATCTGACCTCAGGTCAATCTTAAATCATGGCGATCCTATGGATGAGACACTTCCAGGAACCTCTATCCTCCAGTTCTCTTTGTTCTGCAAGCCCATGCCTGTGTCCCCCCGATTGAGTCCATTCATCTGGCATGCAGTCTTCCTCTCCTCTTCCTGCCCTCTACTTTTCCTAGAATTATGGTCTTTTCCAGTGATTGATGCCTTCTCATTACATGGCCAAAGTACATCAGCCTCAATTTAATTATCTTGGCTTCTATGGAGACCTCTGGCTTTATCTGTTCCAAGACCATCTGTTTACCTTTTTGGTTGTCTACGGTATCCTAAGCACTCTTCTCCAGCACCACATTTGAAATTAGTTGATTTTCCTTCTGTCTGTTTACTTTACTGTCCAGCTCTCGCATCTATACATGGTGATGGGGAATATGATCGCTTGGATGATTCTAATTTTTGTGCTCAGTTGTATATTTTTACTCTTCAGGAGCTTTTCTAATTCTTTCACAGCTGCTCTTCCCGTTCCTAATCTTATTTCTTGACTGCAGTCACTATTGCGGTCTATATTTGATCCTAGGTACAGGGATTCTTTAACTATTTTGATTTCCTCATTGTTTAGATTGAATTTATGTATGCCTTCTGTTGTCATATTTTTTGTTTTCTTTATGTTAAAGCATTAATCCTGCCTTTGTGCTTTCTTCCTTGCCCTTCCTTTGTAACTATTCCAAGACTGTGATGTCTTCCGACATTATCATTGTATCATCCCCATATGTTAGGTTGCTGGTATTCCTTCCTCCTATTCCTTCTGATTCTATCTCTGCTTTTCATATGATGTTTTTGGCATATAAGTTGAACAAGTAGGGTGATGGAATACAGCCTTGCCTGTACATACCATTTAAAACAAAAACTGCAGAAATATCTGAGGCAGGAACTCTGAAACTATTTACTGACAAAGTGAAAACATGTGAATAAAGGCAGATTAAAAAAATCTTTATGAGCAGACAGTAGCAAAAATAATATTAACTGGTGTACAAATGTATCTGGGATAGAGGGGGACTCTCTGATTTTATATATTTTATATATATTATATATGTTATTATATATGTGGGAGATTGACACCTTTCTTACTTAACCCTAAAGGGAACAAAGTTTTTAGTTTTAAAACCTACTCTAGTTACATTGTTCAAAACAACCTGTCATCAATAGAGTTCACCTTCATTGTCCCAAAATATGAGGTCTATTGCACCATAATGTTGCTCCAAAAAATGACTCACCAAGGAAACATGTTTTATTGTTCCTTGTAGTATAAGAGGTGTTCCTTTATATGATTCTGAAGATGCTTGTTTTCCTCAGATGAACCTTTTGCACTGTATGACATCAGTAACAAAACAGCTGTTACAAATAGTGCAGTTGTGCAAAATATGTCCTGTGGGTCTACTTACCCGTACCAGATATTATTTATACTCCTTGAAGATTATCTTCACCAGAATGTCTCCAGTATTGTTGGTTCTTTTGAATTAGACCTGTGGTCCTGACAGCCTGGTATTCTGAACTATATGCCTGTGTTTATTTATAAAGACCTACAGATGATTGGTAATGTGATTAAAGTCAGGCTACAGCTTAAACAGTTGGACTCTCCTGTATCCTGTTTTCTTAACAGGTCAGAATATGTTTTGTGGGCACTTTGCACAAGATCTAGACACTATTTTGCATGGGTACCCTCTTTCTGCCAGCTATTCTGTCTGTATACATGCAAAATAATGACAATGGAGGATTCACATAAATTCAACCTAGACAATGAAGAAGTTGAAATACACTCGTCCCTCCACATTTGCAGATTTGACTTTTGCAGATTTGATTATTCACGGATTTTATTAAAATGTTCTTTCTAGGAATATATAGGGGTCCTCCAGCAGAACTGTTATGGTCAACTTTAACCAAAAGTTGCACTGAAGGATCTAGAGATTCCTAGAGAGAACACTCCACTAGGCATTGGTAGCTGCTCCAGCGCAATTTTATGGTCAATATCTGGCAGATGTTGACCACAGAGTTGCACTGGAGGACAAAGAGATTTCTAGAGAGGTGTTCTCTCAGATAAAAACATAGTCTTTTTGTTACTTTTCCACATTCACAGGGGTCCTGTGCCCCTACTAGCGAATGTGGAGGGACAAGTGTAGTTAAAAAGTTGCCATACCTTGGATCAAACATTGAACAGTATGGAGACTGCAGTGAGATAAGAAAACGAGATAAGAAGAATGGGAAGGGCAGCTATGAACGAACGACAGTATCTTACCTAAAGTGTAAAGATATGCAACTGAGCACTAAAGTTAGGATCATTCAAGTCATTGTATTCACCATCACCACATATGGACGTGAGAGCTGGATAGTTAAAAGAGAGATAAGAAAATCAACTCATTTCAGAGAAGAGTGCTGAGGATACTGTGGACAGCTGAAAAGACAAACAAATGGGTCCTTCAGCAGATAAAGTCCGAAGTCTCCCTGGAAGCCAAGATGATCAAATTCAGGCTGTCGTACTTTGGCTACATCATGAGAAGTCACACAACTTATTAGAAAAGACAATAATGCTGGGAAAGATAGAGGTCAGCAAAAAAAGAGGAAGACCACATGAGAGATAGATGGACTCAGTCAGGGAGGTTATGGACATGAAATTGCAGGACCTAAGCAGAGCAGTGGAGGACAGGGGGTCTTGGAGGTATTTCATCGACAGGGTAGCCATGAGTCAGGGTTGAGTTGAAGGCAGTTAACAACAACTAAACTAGAAATCCAAGGATTTGATAGGGTGGAGCTCCAGCACATAAAGCAGTGTCAAAGTGCATTGTGTTTACAGTATAGATGCACCATAACTTGTGGTGTAGTGATTTGTTGCACTGTGATTCTGGAGACCAGGGTTCAATTCCCAGCTCAGCCATGGAAACCCACTGAGTGACCTTGGATATTGTCAAGAAAACACCAGGATGTGGCCATAAGTCAGAAACAACTTTAATGATGATGGTTATGGTGATGATGATGATATTTGTATCCCACTTTCCCCCAAAAATTGGGACTCAAAGCACAGTGCAATTAAAAACTTACAAAAGTCCCAGGGAGGCCAGAATGGCTCCTTCCTTGTTGTCCTTCCACCGCTAGGATAAGACCTTCCCGTGCGGACAGAAATTCAAAACAGAAAGTTTTTAAAGAACGGGCTGGGGTGTTATTATGTTTTAAACAGTTTTAAACATTTTTTAATCTGTTTAAACTGTATTTTATATTTTAACATGCAATCTGTTTTAATATTGTAGTACAATCGCCCCTCTGTTCTTGCGGACTTAAAGTCTGCGGTTTTGCATATTCACAGCTTAATTCTATTTTAATTTAATTCTGTTTTAGTGTACAATTTTTGTATGCTTTTAATTGTACAGTTACTTTCTG